TTCACCTAAAGACCAGCACAGGTTCTGGAACAATGTTTTGTGACCTATTATGAAAATATCCCACACACACCCATGTAACTTTAGGTCATCGTATAATTCATATACCCTGCTTTGATGTTTTATTGTGTATTGTCCATTATATAGCTCCATGTTGCTCGATTGGTAAACCTCTGACCAAGGCCTGTCTCCTTGTTCAGAGAGCTGTAGGCCTCAGCCTGGGACCCTCCGGCCAAACAGCTGCTGTTGGGGAGAGGGGAGAGTCCTCTCTCCTCTCCCCTCTTCCTTAGCTGGAGGTCTTTATTAACCCCCCTATCCGGCTGGTGTCTTGCTGCTTCCAAATCTTATTCTCCTCACTAAACTGATCCACCTAAACATTTTCTTCCTCAGAATTTCCTATGGCAAACCCAAAAAGAGTTGTGCTCTAGGCCCTAGGCATTAACTTTGGAATTCTCTCCCTCAGGAGGCCAGCCCAGCCTAATCTTCAGCAAGCAAATAACTTCCTCTTTAGGCAATCTTTCCTTGAGTGACTGGCTGCCTGAGTGGGATTTTTAAACAGATTGTTGGACCTTACTGTTTTGAATGTGTTTTGGTGTCACTTATATTTTTTGTTGTTGCATTTGTTTGATCCTTTCTAGTACTGTATCTGTATACTCACTGTTGTTAGGTTTAATAGTTTTTTTTAATGGTATAAGCCACCAGAAAGGCAGGGTTAAAATATTTCAATTAATTAATTAATTATACGTTGTTGTTGTTTCTGAGTTGTGTATGTTTTCGGAATACTGTTAACAATAACTTCCTCTTCCAAAATCAGGTGAATTCAGTTCTTGAAAAACCTGTTGGTTTAAGAGCAGAGTGAAGGCTAGGGAGAATGCAAACTAGGAACGTAGAAGATAAGGCAGCTGTCTTCATTTTAATAAATATGCCCCACGATGAGGAACAATGTTATGCAATGTCAAAAATTGTGCTTGCTTACAATTTACATTCCATACGCCCACACATTTCCTTGGTCTTTCAGGCCAAAAAAAGCACACAAGGCCGGTTGGTGTGCTTGGAACTGCCAAAGATGCCTGCTATGGTCCTGCTTTTGTGTTGCTTTATGAAATGCTGCAGCCTTAATGTATCACTACAGGAACACTTGTAAGCTGTTTCTCCCTGCAGTCCATTATCATGGAAAATGCCTGACACTTCCGCTCCCTGCCACCAAGAAGCCAAGCCATATTGTTTTCCTCCTGCCTACCGCTATGGCCTTTTCAGACTCCAGCAGCATATGGAGGGAGAAGCTGCTCTTCAGTGTGAAATAGGCTAATCATCTGTCACATCATCTACCACGTGTGGGAAAAACAGAGGCAAAGGCCTGACCACACTCAAGCCTCAAACAGTGTGTGATCTAACCGCTGAGTTGCTGAGGTCTCAGAAGCTGATAAGGACACCCGACTTCCCCAGGAGTCCTCTGAAGATTTATAGACCCTCCCAGGCAAGGAAAAGATTCCATGATTCGTCATAGCTGGTATTATCCCAGTAAAGGGTTACTCCCAGAATGAAACCAGACAATCAGCGGCAAGCTTAGGTGTGTGACATAACTGCACTGTATAGTCTTTCTGTTTTAAAATCAAAATCAAGATTGGGAGGCCTGAATTTGAGGAAAGTAGTAGGAATAGGAAAGGAGGAAACCTTGTTTTCTTCAGCCATTTCTGGACTCAAAATTACTCCCCAATCACCTTTTTCTGCCATGGTGCAAAATACTATATATGTATAAATGTACTCACATATTTCCTCTCGCAGAGAGAACAACAGTTGGGGAAATAGCTTAAATGGTAGAAACATGGCTACAGAGGAGGACTACTTTTGATTTAAAAATCTAAGAACATACAACGGTGTGACCTATCTAACTTATCCGCCGGCATTCACACTTTATACATCCCCCTTGGGGGTAGAAAGACACAGAAACGTGGTTTGTGTGAAATTACTTCCTTCCTTATCACCTTCTAGGGAAAAAAGGCATCTTTCAGTAATCCCTACTTTTGGACTGCTTATTAAAAATCTAATTAAAAGTTTTCGCGTTAACAAATGCTGTTGAATATAGGAACAGGAACTTCACTTTTACAGAGCAAAGAGTCTGCTGTGTAAGTAGTAAAAGGTTCTCATATTAGGCCATATATTTGTCCTACTGAGTTTAATAATTTGCTTTACGGTCTAATTTCATGCACTTCAAAAGTCAATCTTATAAACTGGTTTAAGTGCCAAGTCATGCACTTTGTCAAGTGTGCACAAATGAACATTTAAGGTAACACCTAACTCAAGTGACTTTTCCATTTCAGCCAGTAATGAGAGAACTCCTATCCATTCTTAGTATGAATCATCCTCTAATTTTTGGCATGTGATGGTAGCTATTCAGGAAAAATGATGATGTTAAAAGCAAATGTGCTTCTGAAGATTCCTTTAAACACTTATATATCACACTGTACTGACAGAATTGTATTTAAAAGCTGGCAGACTATGAGACATGGAAGAAGTTTTGTGGTTTTTTCGAATGGGCAAAACTATTACCATCTTATTGGAACTGTGAATGTTTTAATAACTGGGAAAAACATACATCACTATGAACATCACAATTTCCCTTGAAAGTTTAGCCTTTAATGATTTGAACAGAAAGCTATTCTACTGAAATCAGTAGTCTCTTTTTTTCAAAAACGAACACAAAAATAATTGGTCTATTTCCTGGTCATTCATTAATTTGAGGGATCACTGGAGCATACTAGTGGTATGAGTTGTTTTCAACTTAACAGTGAATTTAGTAGATTTTAAAGCTATGTGAGACAATTATTTATTTATTTATTCTATTTATACCACGCCTATCTGGTCAATACAACCACTCAGGAGTGGTTTGCCATTCTCACGTCTCACTGAGCTTCCATAGTTCAGTGGTAATTTGAATGCAGGTTTTCCTGAGTCTTAATTTGACACTATTCACTATAAGACAGGGGCGTGGTGGCACTGCAGGCTAAACCGCAGAAGCCTGTGCTGCAGGGTCAGAAGACCAGCAGTCGTAAGATCGAATCCACGCGACGGAGTGAGCACCCGTCGCTTGTCCCAGCTCCCGCCAACCTAGCGGTTCAAAAGCATGCAAATGCAAGTAGATAAATAGGGACCACCTCGGGTAACCGCGTTCCGTGTCTAAGTTGCATTGGCCACGTGACCACAGAAGATTGTCTCCGGACAAAACGCTGACTCTATGGCCTGGAAACAGGGATAAGCACCCCCCTAGAGTCAGGCACGACTGGACAAAAATTGTCAAGGGAAACCTTTACCTTTACCTTACTATACCACACCAGCTTTCAAATCAGCTTGTGGTTATTCTTAGAGAATCAAATGTAAAATAACAGTGTAATACAGATACTGTGTGTGTGTGTGAATGCTCACTCATGCATGTAGACAGTGCAACAGTACTATAACTCTGTCCACTCTACTTTATAAAGCATATATTTGGTGCTCTAGATATGAAGATGGACTGTGGGAGTTGTAACATAACAGACAGGATAATCAAAGACTCGTTTTCACTGTTGTACCACAAAACTTTTCTGATCATCAAAAATTATGGTGAATTGCATTTTTGAAGAAAGAAATATTAGCTACTGGTAAACCATCTGCTTTAATCTCACTGTTTTAAAATTAAGAAATTAAATATCATCTTCAATTCACTATAAATCTTCTATAATCCATAGCGATCATGATTCTCAACAAGGAGCTTTGGCACATTTTAAGGGGGCCACAGACTGGAAACAGTTCTTCACACACACCATCTTATTTATAAGTTTTGTTATGCAACTTATGCACCCCTAATTCAGTCTATATTCCTTTCAGATTATGTTTAAACCCATGGAGGTGGGAGGGAGTTGAGAATGGCTGGAATAGATGACATGAATACTGGGCCATCTTGATATTGTCTCTCTTTGCAAAGGGAACTAGTAAAAATAATTTTACCAGAAACTTACACTTAGAACAGAGAGCATCAGATTCAGCTTGCCTGGTGTGGTAGATAGAGTTGCCAAACATAGACAAGAGAGAATTTATTTTTCTAATGTCTGCTTACCAAGTGGCTTTGAAAAAATCACTCTCTCAAAATAGCCTATGTTATGGGTTTAATTTTAACAGCTGGATGGCTAGAGCTCTTTGGAGGAAAGATTTTATATATGCTAATGGGAGTTTTAGTTCAACAAAAGCTGGAAGGCCATAACTTACCCAACTAAAACCCAGCACAGTCAGTGGTGAGAGACCATGGGAGTTCATGCAACATAATGTGGCCTCTCTTTAATTATAAGAAATCCTGTGTGATGAAGAAAGGACTTTCATATTGCCTGCATGCTGACTAAAAGGTACTTGCCAGTGCTTGGAGAACCACAGGCACACAGGCAGCATAGACTATACCTCTGAAGTAAATCCTCTTCTATTCAGATACAGAAATATATGAACCTTAAATATTTCATCAATACATAATCAATGGGGATTTACAAAAAGGCATGTTTCTTTTGTCCTTATTTCCTAACAACAACATTATAATGATATGCCTGTGTTCAGTTTGCTCAAATTTAAGTCGGGGGACAGTCTTATGTCTCCATAACCACACAAAATCCATGTTGCTGAATATCTGAATACCAACAGGTTGCATTTCAGTGAAAAGCTAGTTTCTGCCCCTTGACTGAATCCTTAGTAATTACACCATAATTCTACCTCTGTTCACCACAGACCGATAAGAAAGACAACAAAACAAGTTTGCATTTCATATACATATTTATATATATTTCATGTACAAAGTTACATTCTGAACCCCCAAGGATTCAATAATAAATACTGAAATAACTTCACTGCTATATGAGCTTTCTGGCTCACAGAAAAGAAGCCTCAAGTTTTAAACAGACAGCAAATTTAATGCTGCAGTATCCATCTCAAGGTTACAGAGACAAGTAAAATTCAACATAAGGTGTCTAGACAACATTTTCAAAAAAATATTAATGACCATAAAATGTTTTAAAACATGTTTAAAAGTCTGAAAGTGTGCAGTAATGAATTGTTAAAAGGAAAGGAAAATATTTAGTGTACAGAAGAATGTTCTGTGGAGCAACATAGGTTGTTATAATATGGCATCATCCTATTAGGAAAATAAAGTCAGCATCCACAAAGAAGTGTGTGTTTTCATTCTGTTATATTTTTTTTTACAAATTAAGGATCTTTATAAGATCCTTTCTGGACAGGGTCAACTGCAAGAGTGCCAAATCAGTATCAATCCTTTGGTAACTTTTGTAATACTCACATGGAAATAAATATTCAATTAAATGCTATCTTCAGGACACCATGTTCTTTAAAACAGTTAGCATATTAGACGATTATAAAACATTTCGGTTACTAAGGCAGCTTATGATAAAGTGTCTACACTCTGCCAGCTCTAACTGATCCAGTGCAGGAAGACCTTACAGGAAATTAACATGACACATAAACTTAGTTTTACCTTTCCATGCAAGACACCTTTTCCCAGACAAATCATGTGCTGCATATTTTTGTGCTTGAAATGCTCTTTTCAAACTATGAACAAAAGATTTTAACTATCAAGAGATTCTCACTCCTGGTTTTAGAACTATAAGGATGTGATAACTAAGACATTCTCAAAACAAATTTTTGTTAGGCAATTATTTGATGTATGAGGTTTAGTGAGGTTTATCACCTACAATTAAAAAGTGCTCTGGAATAGAGAGTGTACACATCTCAGTGAAAAGTGATGACAGCCACATTCTAAATCTGTTATTCTGGACACAGCCTACCATTTAAAAATAAACAGGAGAGGAAAATGTGTGTCAATCTGTTATTTTCATTTATAATACTGTTACAGACTCTGCTGGACTCTCATTTTTCTGCTATGAATAGCCTTTGATCCAATGAGAACAAAATGGCACCCTTACCCAATATGCCGAATTATTAAATATGCTACCCGATATGTCTGTTATCCAACAATGGTGATGCTTTCTTAAATAGCCCACTTAATAGTTTTTCAATGAAAGCAATTTCCTTTAAAGGGGAAAATTAAGCTCTCTTTCCAAGAAGATGAAATGTAGCGAGTCAACCACTCATGAAAGATCTGGGTAGTTTTCCCAAAAAAGTCCATCAATATAAGTAGCCCACAGGAAGCAAGAAAGGCAAATAAGTTCTTTCAGCAGTGAAGACATACCAAGCATTTTATCTGGACATCCAGTATCAGACATAACTTGCCACACTATGAGTGCTTGAAGAATATTACAGAATCTTATACATTTACTATTTTAATCTGAACGTCCTCACCAAGCTGATTTTTAAGCATCACCATGTTGCCAAAGCTGCACTTTTATATATGAACAGGCAGGGTCACATTTTGGAATACCAAGTGGGGAAAACTGCATGCTTCTCTGGATCATTCAGAGCTTTTAGATGAGTGCTTATTTTCTGAAGCTTGAGTAAGTTGAAATTTTATACTCTTATCTTGTTTGGCATATTCAAGGGGAAAATTATCTATTACCAAGGTATTAGACATTCAATCATTTTTAGCAACATATATCATGGTCTAAATACATACTTACCAGAACTTACTAGCTGTGTACAAAATATGGTGCTTAAAAAGTATTTATACATATAAATCTATAACCAGTAGACCTGAACAGAGATTTACTGATTTTTTTAAAATCAGGTAAGATGCTCATTTCCTTTTTTTAAAAAGCTGCCTAAATAAATATTTACACAATAGACTTCATGATTTTTAACATGATTTTAAAAAATTAATATTATATATATTTATATAAATACATGTTTCCTTGACAGATCACAAACCATTCCTATTGCATAAAAATGTTTAGGCAGTTTTTCAAGACTGTTCCTAATTTTGTCTCATGTTGTCCTTTGAAACTCTACAAAATTCTCCTGTTCTGTCACTTAAATATTATCTGCTCCCATCTAATGGGAATATCCCAAGTCTCTTGATAGGGACCATTTGGATGTCCATATTTCAATTCATAGTTTTCAAGGTATGAAATATTGGGAAGCTGTTGCACCCTATAATGAATTAAAAATGTAGCATTCACCTTAGTTTAGCCATTAACTGGGTAATCTGTAATAAAGAAACATACTCTGTCCAAAGCTTATAGTGAGAAGATAGAATAAGTTGTCTGAAGTTATACCTGTTTCCTCAAACATCAGGGTACACCTCCAGCACCATTCAGTGTAGGGCTCTCTCAGCAACTACACCAGTGCAAATCATGTGCAACACTCCCTACCATACTCAACCCACAGAAGAAAAAAAATACAACAGCAGTTTCACTAGTTATATGGACTATGAAAATCAATGCACTTTAAACCTAATTAGGGTGATTTCCCCTCATTTTTACTCAAGCAGTTAAAGCTCACAGCTATTTTGTTCCCTGTTTGAATCCTTCTATGTCAAGTGCCATGAATCTGACCAGCTAAGGTCCAAGATAGCAGGTGTGCAAAAATATTTATCTTCTGCCCAAGGAACAGAAAGGAAGGTTGCAAATCTTTCTAAGAACAACATTGAGATCCGTAAAAATGTTTCCAAATAATCTCAGATAAGAAAAATGGAAATAATTCTTTCCTCAAAACATCGCAATTCTCATTATTAAGGGCAGTTCTTGTAATTTTAGTGCTATTAGAATTAGACATAAAAATGTATATTATTATTATTGGTGAATTTCTATATAATTTCTTCTTTGGGGCTTTGATATCAAAAAGTAAAGACAAATTTGCTGAATGTACAGAATGTAAAAGGAATATGATCCATTTGATATTTCTGAAATATTACCATGGAAATAACTTTGCTGTTTTACTTGATACATGTTCAGCAGATGAATTCAAAGGGTTCATTCTAGAATTTATACTCCATTTGTAGTAGCTTTCTGTTATAGGCTGTAGTGTGGCATATGGTCAGTTCTATTTCAGAGTAAATACAGTTATTTCTCTGTCTGGGGAAACTAGTTTGTTCTCGCTGTGTAACACTGACACAGTAATACAGCACAAGCGAATTCCTGCATTGTTAAGGTTTGAGAGGCTTGTTATATGACGTCAAATGGCAACAAAACGTTCAAAAGATTATGGAGTGAAATGGGTTCCACAAAAAAGAAAACAAAATCCAAAGACATGCAAAAACTTTTGCTGTCTCAAGCCGCTTTCCTGGGGACTCATTCAGTGTCACACATAAGTTGCCACACTATGAGATGGCTTCTCTCAGCTTTGACTACTGAAGGCTCCAGTTGTAGTGCTTCTCCCAGGAGTTCTGATTCACCAACTTCGTCACCTAGGAGAAAAGAGAAAACATTCTAGGCAAACAGGCTAACATAAGAAGGCTACAAGTTGCCACTTTCTGCTCCTTTCCTGCAATTTTAATTACAAGGGAACTAGGGTAGCCCTCAAAGGACATTACTGATTTTTCCTTTGTTGCCTATTCAATTTTATTCTCCCAATAAAAGGAGGCAAGATAGTTTATAAATTATTTTGAAAAATATACAAACTACTCAAATACTGTACATTGGTTGAAATCCTGTGCTTGTTGTACTAAGCTGCAACAGGAGTAGGACTATTGAATCAATGGAACTAATTCAGAAGAGTTGAATCACTCAGATCTCCAATGGTTCAATGGGCCTACTCTTAGTTGCAACTGACTATACTAAGCAACAGGATTTGAGCCATTATATATTAAAACTATCAAAAAAATTCAGGGGAATTCTTGCTTGGCAATAATCTCTGCATCAAGAGCTTTCAAGAGGATAAAACACAACAGAATTTGTAGACAAAGAAAATGAAATTACCTATATAATTGAACAAAATCTAATATATAAAAGAAGGTAAAATAAAGGTTAAATCCATGGTGATACCAGAGGACTGAGAATCTGATACAGTACTTGTGTTGGATTACATTGTTACAGAAGAGGTAATGGAAGCAGTATTGCAAGCACACAATCTATGCTGCACAACTGCTTGTACAATGGGAACAGCCTGGATACTACTATCACACAAATGTTGTGCTATCTCTGCCAGTGCAATGACACCACTGAATGTACGCTCAAATATTCAAATAATCAGAAGCTTGAATAAACAGGAATACTTTTCCTTTAAAAGCAGGAATGAGAATCATGGAGTCCGCACATAGCTGCCCTGAGGCCATTTTTAGGATCTTGCAGCAGACGAAAATCAATACTTTTCAAGAATCATTCCTCTTGGGCAGGAGTGGACAAGGCATACCTCCAAGCTGTTTTTCCTCAGACCCAGTGGTTCCCAATGCATCCCAGGAAAATATGGCTTAAAAGAACTTTGGTAGCTTGCCCAGCAATATTCAGTGTAAAACCAATAACTTGAGGAACCTCAGAAAGACTTACAAGCCTTTTCCCCCAATATTAATTTCAGGAGGAAACCTTTAATTATCACTCTGTTTCAAAGTGCTGCCCCAACATTTCTCTTCTTTAACTCTTGAATTTTTATCCTGCAGGATTAAACTTATTATACCTTGTTTCCCCACAAATAAGACCTAACCTGAAAAGAAGCCCTAGTAGGATTTTTCAGGATGTTCATAATATAAGCCCTACCCCAAAAATAAGCCCCAGTTAAATGAAACCCTGCCCTCCACCATCGTGCACCAACCAGAAGATGATAACATGGCTGTATTTGAATAAATGTAGATTGTTGTACATGAAAATAAAATAGAACATCCCCTGAAAATAAGCCCTAATGCATTTTTGGAGCAAAAATTAATATACGACTCTGTCTTATTTTCGGGAAAACACAGTAATATACCTTAACAGAGCAACTACTGTTTAAAAAACTTATGTCTAGGCAGATTATTAATCATAAGAGTATTACAGGATTGCAATTCTCTGTTGCTATTGTTGCCTTATTGAAGTAAATTTCAAATACATATTTAAATAAAAGTGGAAATTAGTGACTATTTAATAAATTATTATTTAATAAAATCTGAAGGGATAAAACTGACTTTCTGAAGGCATACATTAGATTTTCATAGAATTTATAATATTTTATGAAATTAAAATTACAATTTCTGTATTATAAATATCTTTTATTTATCATATGTCAATATTTAGAACTGGGAACTCATGCATTTTGCCAAATTGATTTTATATAGGAACTAATATTGAATGACACAAAAAGGCAATGTAAAATATACATGTGATTTTTTAATTTACCAGTTCTACATATAGTTACCTATATTCACTTACTTTTTCATATTTCATACAGTTTTAATATACTGTAACAACATTCACATATTTTTAGATTCTATCCAAGTGCTGGAATACAATATTTAACATTTTTAAAGAGTTAAATAGCTGTTTCAGTGACTGCCCTCTCTACGCTGGCAATGCTCCATGGGAGTGTGCCTTCCAACTAGCCAGCCAATTTTAAAAGCAGCTCTCAGTCCTACTAAAGTTGCTCATCCCTCCTCTACCATGCCTTGCTGTGGAGTGCAAAGGATTTAAAATGTTGGACTCACTATGAGCTATATCAGGGATCTCCAAACGTTTTACAGTGAGGGCCACACCAGATATTTTCAAAGTTCCTGAGCCGAAGGAACAGGAATGTGTGTGT